ATGAATGGGAATCTCGTCGTGGCGGGTGGGAGATGCAGATGCGGCTCTAACCACCAACTATGCCATTTCGGCGCGTTTTTGAGGAATGAAACGGATTGGTGGGGGAAGGGTGCGGATTCGGAATAGCGAAAAGAGTCCGATACGAATCCGTTTCGGCGCCAAAATTCATATTTTGGTAAAAAGTAGGTATACGCTATATTCAACCGACTTAAACTTTACGCGTTGATATAAACTTCTAAAAATTGATTGGTAAACAACAGGCTTTAGAAGGATATGAATTAGTGCGGGGAAATCAGGAATTTCGGAAAAAATCCAACCGTTACTCACCTGGGCAAATGGACCATGCGCAGCTTTTTGAAGCCGGGAAAATAGTCCATCGCATTTCAAAGGCACAAATGGGTCCCGCAACGATAAATTGATGTAGAAAAATATAGCGTCGAATATATTCGGAAAGTTTTTTTTACCCCCATGTCCTAATCGTTAGAAGTCCGCTACAAATTTCGGGATTTTCCCGGATGCCTCAGCTGATGGGTCGGCTAATGGAATGGAATACAGACAATCCGATGGCCAGAGGCTTTTCCCTCTTCTGCCCTGCGCCGGAAACAAGGCGTTCCAATCGCCGCCGAAAATCGATTAAGCCGTGAGGGCGCAGGCGGTTTGGAGAAGAACAGGGAGAGGGAGAAGCTTTGTTATCTTGGCCCGGGTCCCGCGGCTTTTTGGAGAATGAGTGGAATGACAGCAGTCAGGGGAGGGGGAGGCAGACAGCCGAAGAAATAAACAGACTGACTGACACGGTCAACACTTGGCTTTGGCAAGTAGACCGGGTGGCGACAGGTGGGTAGTAATAGGGGGGTACTTTACTTTCTGAGAGGTAGCTCCTCAAAAAGGACAGAATATATTCAGACACGTTGTGATTGTAGTATACCCTGCAATGGTTTGGCTTCAAACAAGCTGGAATATGCAGTGATACCTTACGGTAGGGAAATCCGATTTTATTACGTTTGAAGACCAGGTGATGAATAATAGCGGCTTATCTCTTTGCGGCCGTGTTTTGCTACTGCTTTTGGAGTGGATTTATAGCCCCTATATTTGGGTTATCAGCTTCTTGGCAGGGATGAGTCGGATTTGACTCTTTTCGTGAAATTGAACTTCCAGTAAATGTTTTTCCGGGTTTTCTGATCAATTCATTGATTTTAAGGTTGGATGGTTCGAAATTTTGTAGTTTGTAGTCTTCGAAAACCTTTAAATTCGGCGAAAAGTCAATGAAAAAAATCGGAAACGATTTCGTGGTTCGGACCAGGTTCAGATCTAGGCTTTCGGTCGCCCTTTTGCGGATGTTTAGGAAAAATCCGCTGCTCTGGTACGATTCAGGATATACCAAAAAATTCGAATTCGGAATATATAGTCCTTATAGCTTCAAAATCCAGAAAATACAAATATAGCGTCAATAGTCCCAAATAGTACTATCGAGTAGTATAGCTAGAGGACTATCCTCGGGGCTGAATATTAGTGATGTGTCTGTATGCGTCCGGTCCTATTCAGCGCCCCCCAAAGGCAGGTGTCGAGAGGATGCTTGGCTTGCTTGGTTCCGCCCGGCAGGATGACTCAGAATTAAAGGGGACGGGAAGAGAAGATGAGAAGAGACGGGCAGAAATGTCGCAGCCAGCCCAATACACCGGAAATGGGCCCGGAATCGATTTGATCAGAATTGACGGGGAACCGAGGTGTGGGGATTATTTCAGGCGCCCGAGCCGGAGGTGGGGGGATTGAGATTAAAAGGTGACCTTAACCCTTCCGGCTAGAGGGCTATAAGTGCCGGAAGGGCCCTCCACTTGACCATCCACCCCCATCCACACACAGACAGAGACAGAAATGGCTTATATGAGAGAGCTCACAAAGAGTTGAGAGCCAAGTTGAAGCGTGGGGTCAAAGGGTGATGGACCGGAAATTAAGGTATCGCGGCGTAGTCATAAAGATTACGGCTTACTTTGGATAGAGAAGAAAATAAATCGCGGAATCTTAATAAACAATATAAAGGCTATCTATTTAAGAATTTATCACTTTTAATCAAAAGAATTTAGAATAATTTAAAATAAAAACAACGAGTAAAATTCGGTAGCCAACTTAAAGGCGCTAGGAAGTTTAAGAATCGACTCTTTCCGTCTATTGGGTCTCGACAACCTTGCGAAGGACGAAAATACGTTCGAAGTTAAGAAAAAACTACGGTTTGGGTAAAATGCAAAAGCAATTCGAACGTCTCTTGGAGCTAAGCTGTCGAGATCCAACAAACGAACGGGGTTGATTTTCGCCTTTCTCGACCCCCTTAATTTATAAGGCGAATTATACAATGGGCATGGAAGATAAAGAACGAGTAACTTTGCAAGGAAATTCTCATAAAAATTCATGGCCAAGGCACTGCAAGGAAAATCGTGAGCGATCTCATATGCTACGAGTTGACATCACTTCTATAAAAAGTTGCACACATCTCCCTTGCACTTTATAACTTGAGCCAAAACTCGTAAACTCAAAAACAGCATTTCCGGTGGCGCGACGCGCGCGCTGCGGTCCTCAAAAGGTGGCGACTGTTTCCAAAACCCGCGCGCGCCACCCCCGCCTTTTCGATTCGAGATTTTTGGAGTAGGAGAGAGAGAGGGAGAGAGAGAGAGAGAGAGAGAGAACGAGCAAGTGAGAACTAGCGATAAATATCCATCTCTCCCCGGAAAGACGATTAGCCGTGTGCTACCACCACAACATGTGATGTGGAAATCCGCCAAAAAAATCGGATAAAGGGATGAAAGGAAAGTGCAAGAGATATTTTGCATATGGAAATGCATACAAAATATAAAGGGAAGCGAAAGACTATTTTTTAGATGGGTGAAAAAAGCCAAAATTTTACATTTTTTACAATTTCGGTATTTTCAAAAAATGCAGTTTTTGAAGCTGTAGATTCCAAGTTTTCTAAACCATAAATCATCCCGAAATCCTGGCCCAACTGCTAGAGGAATGACCGGTGGTTGGCCGATAATTACAGGACGTCACAGCCGGAGCGCTGACCCCATTCCCGGAGGGCACAAAAATAGAAAGGAAGGTAGCAGTAAGAAGGGGGGAAGAAGAGGATATATTGGCCTAACGGGAGGTGGACCTGGAGCCCTCAAGGGTCAGAGCAGTGAATGGGGGCGAATTGCCTGGGGCCATGAGGTATGTGGCACCTTGCCAAGGCATGATTTAGGGGACCGAAGGTTGGCGGTTTTAGAGGATATCGTATTGATGAGCAACACAAAAAATTTCCGGAAATTTAAAGGGGCACAGGAAGTTTTAAATTTGGCGTTAAAAACAGCGCCGTTAAAAGCTTTTTGATGGCAGTTTTCGGATGCTGGCCAGCTTTAAAGGGACGGAGCAAGGCCTAGCTATGGACTTTTAGTGCTGATACCTGAAGAATTTGCCGCAACAAGCGACGCACAAATCCACGCATTTTAAGCGCGTAATGAAATGAATACGGCAAATTTCAGGCTGCCGAGCTACGTATGCGTTTATCGAGAATGCGGAAATATTTTATAGCTTGATTATATCGCACAAAACCTATAAAGATGCCTTGCCAGCATTTTTAATGAAGCATATACCTTTAAGATATCGCATTAATGGAAAATATGGAGGAGGATGACGTCAAAGTGTCTTTAAAGCCATCCCATTCTTGGTTTTGCGGTCATTATGGATCCCAACAATGAAAATTTGCCCGCGGCTAGATCAAAATATACCACAAGAACACTAGCATATGGTTATTCTACCCTAGGGCCACCCAATTCCCTGAATACTACTACGTTTTATGACTAACACGTGGTGGGTGCCCGCCAGCGGCGAGAGGACCCTTACTTTTTCAAGTGGCCCGGCCCACAGTGGTTGTAGCGTGGCGTGGCCACGGGGCGCCAAAATGGAATTTTCGGGGCTTCCTTCCTGAGGGTAGTGGAACTGCTTGGAATGCAGATTTTATGAGATCCAGGAATAGGAAGATGACGAATCTGGGATAAGCAAAAAAACATGGACAAAAAGCGTAACCCGAATTTTTTATGTAATTTTTATTTCTATGTGGCCTTTTTGGCCTTAAAAATCTATGAAAACTGTCAAAACAATTCAAAGATTAGAATTAAAATAGCTATAGCAAGAATCCCGCAAAGTTTGTTATTTTTGTCAGCCGGTGGTTTTCCTAGATAATTTTTTAGGTCAGATTTTCTAGGAAATTCATGAATATTAAGTATCTTACGTAATTGTGACCAGGTTTTTAGCGTAACGGCCTATAACCCCCTCCGAAACAGCTCTAAAATTGTTATTAAAATTTCTATAGCCAAAGCCCGGTGAAGTTTATCATTTCCGCCTGCTCAAGGCGCCATAAACCCCGGGCGATTTGCCCAAAAGGCAAACAAAAAGTTATGTCCTCCACCACTAGCCGTATTTGCGAATGCGCCACACACGCCAGTCAACTATTCACTTTATGCTAGAGGCACCCCTAGGGTCATAAATTCTTATTTATATAGTGCGGATAGTTTGGTGAAGTGACTGTCCAAAGCTGACGCCATAAAAATGTATCAATGCTAGTAGAAATGGCGAAAAACGTTGCAAAAAACCCTTGAGTCTCAAAAAACTGATAACAAGGAAAAAACTGAAGAAATTCGACGTTTTTTCCGGTTTTTGGAGCCAAAGTTCTTTTGGAAATTTGTTGCCGAATGACGCCTTTTATAGGAATCCGATGCGATCCGATTTTTATGTCAATTTCCCGCATAAAAATCCTAATAAAGGTCAGCTGCATGATCAAAAAGTTTCGAAGCTGCCCAGAAAAACCGGAAAAGCCCAAAAATTATGCAGCAGAGGGTTGAAATTCTGGTTTCTTAAGGAGTAGATTGGGCCTTACGGTTTCTTAGAAAAATGTGAGGGGTGAGAGAGAGACTGAATAAAAATAGGAAGCAAGAAAATTCTTAAAAAATCATTCGAACCCCTGAAAAACTCACTTTTCAATCCATTTCGCCCGCTCCAACGGCGTGCGGCACGCGTAGTACGTGTTGGCGACGCGGAAGCAGTTCGGAACATCCAAGACTGATGGGTGAACAGGGTGAGGGCGAGCGGATTGATCTCCTAAATTTGAATTTTAAGCTTTTGTTGGTGACAAATTTTTAACGCGTTTTCGGCAATCTACGTTCTTTTTCCAGACCTAGCGTTGTCGAAATTTCCCTGTCGCGGCCCCTTTAAAACGTATAGGTGTCGCCAAGATCCTCTCACCCCAACGACAACTTTAAAGGCGCTGGTAAGCCCTACGATCGACGCCTTGAGAGGACTAGGTCTGGACAAGTACGTCTCACGACAAATTGCGCTGTCCAGTCCCTTTTTGCCCCTGTGGAATTTCGGCGGGGAATTAAGACGCATTCCTAGGTGTAAGTTTGACTAGCGCGTAGCTGTCGACACCTAGCCAGTGAAACTGTGTCGATTATTTACCTTCCTAGTGGCCTTAAAAACCGAAAAACACACGTTGTTAGCTCAAAATTGAATGCCCTGTTCCCCTCCCTTCAAACCCCCATCCATCATATCCCTGCCCTCTACGGCGAACAATAAATTCCGAAAAACTGACTCAAATCGATCATGTGGGTGGCGGTGGAGTAGCTGAGGAGACTCTCGTGGGAACGGCTTGACCTGCAACAGAATGGAAATTGATACCGTAGCCCGGAAGGGAGGAGGGTCAGGGGAATAGGAGTGTGTTGGAAAAGACAAGGAGGCCTCGAAACGGTACACCCCACACATCGACACTTCAAAGCATCGAATAACCCGAGGTGGGGAGACGGGAATTTGCAAAAAACGGTTCGAACGACGAGCTCGGCCGCTTGTTTTTGAGTTTTAAAGGCACCGCAATGGATACTTTGGTTTATGGATTCTTCCAAAAATTGAACAATTGAACGATTTTAAGAAACTTTGTGCCCAAAATTCCATGTAAAAAAATTTAATGTGCGAGTGAGAGAGAGCCAGAGTTGGAGAGAGAGAGAGAGAGCGGGCGAGAAAGCCAAAACCTACCGTAACAAATTCTGGTCCTGCTGATACAAATTCCGCCTTTGGAGCCCATTGAGCGGCTGTAGATTCTCTTGGGACTGCTTGAAGTCGGGCTGCCGGACGACCACCCTAAAAATTGGATTTCTCAAGGGTTACGATAGTTAGTCTACTACCTAGTGATCCCGTCGTCAATGATCGATATCGTACTGACACCACACAAGTAGTGCATTTTAGGTTGTAGCTCTAATTTTATAAGTCAGATCGGCGAGGGAGAGAGGGCGTGAGTGAGCGAGACAGCGCGAGTGAGAGAGACAGAGAAAAAGAAGAGAGAAAGAGCGAGAGCGAGAGAGAGAGAGAGGGGGGGGGGGGGGGGGATAGAAAGTCGTCAGTAGTACAAGCAATAATTTGAGAACTGAGTTTTGAGGTCCTACTCCTGGTTTTTTTGACTTGGAGACGGGTCGTCAACAAGTCATTTTGCGCCGGACAGGGGCAAATGATAGCAGTACGACTTTTTCCTAAGCGAGCGAACATAGCAAAATGCATTTATATGGTGTAAACGGTTCTAAAGGAAGACGAAAACCAAGAAGATTTATTTTGCGAGGTTTCCCGCTGATTTTAATGGAATTTTACGGCAATTACGTAAATTTAGTGCTTTTTTAATGCTTAAGGATCCATCAAAATCACGAAAAAATTACGTTAACTAGAATTTATGCAATTTAAATGCATAGACGGGTCAGAATCTTAAAAGAAAAAAACGAAGATTTATAGGCAGCGCTCTGGCTAAAAAAACACCTGCGCGGACTGAAAGCCCAGTTTTTGTGAGCTGAATACCATCCATCCCACCCATCTCTCCACACTCCCTTGCCCGGCCCCCTCTGTGTGAAAATCCAGGTTCTACCTATTCGATTTGACTGTCAGTGGCTGTGTGGGTTCTCAATCTCCCCTGCTGTGATCCTCCGACTAAATACCCTACTTTTCACCCCGCTGGCGCGTCCGCGCGCGTCGCCACTAAAACTCCCGCAGCGCGGCGGGAAAGTGAGAATTTTTGCAAGGGTGGAGAGGGGAATAAAGTAATGATTTGTTACGCCAAAGCGACGGCATGACTAAACGAATTTCGCTATGAAAATCGGATGATTTTCAATATTTTAAAGGGATAGTCAAGGGATGATGCCAGCAAATTTTGGTCCTTAAGAGAGAGAGAGAGAGAGAGCGAGAGAGAGAGCGAGAGAGAGAAGCAAATAAGCTAGTACGCCGTCTTTAATAAGCCGAAATAGTCAAAAGAAGCGTTGTTCCGCGACTTCCCAAACACAACCAGTGTGTGTTTGTGTTTTTTTACTGGAACACCATAAAATCAGGGAACACGTTGTAACTCGGGGCTGGTTGTGGCTGGTCGGCTACCCTTGTCTGTCCAAAGTTTCCGGATCCATCCTATCCAATAACTCTTGCTAGGGGGAATTGGGCCCATAAATCGGGACGCGGATCGGATCGGAGACCTATGTCGACAGCTATCCTGTTGTATAGCTTTTCCTGGTTGAATGATATTACGAAAAAACAAAATCGACCCGCGCCAATAGGTGTTCCCAACTATGCGAGGTATCAATTTTGTGAAAAGTCCATTGAAACGGATATTGATTAAGTTTTTAAAAATAGCATTTGGAGCGACGCGTAGTTGTCGACACCTAGGGCTCATGGGGGTCGATTTTGGTGCTTGCTGCTCGGGTCGAGAAAAGCTTCATGAAAAGTGAGCTATCTTCCTGACAGATTGATTTCCGGACCATTACACACTCCATTAAACGATACCATCTCCGCCATGATCCCCCCACTTCACTCTTCCATACCCACCGTTTCGCATTGTACACAGTACGCCCTCGTATAATCCTCCCCTTGATCGGTTTCCGGGTTCTCCGAGGTGAGGCACACACCATGCTTCGCGTCGACCGCAGTGAGGCTAGGGATTTTCGATCGAGGGATCGATCGTTTGGCTCTTCTTCTTCGGGGTCTGGCAGATCTCGGGTGCCGAATTGCCATTCATAGTGCCGTTGAAGGCTGAGTTTTGGGGCTAGGCCAAGGCGGCTGGATGCTGTCGAGGATAGGGAGCCGTAGAGGGACATGCCCGTCTGTAGGAGTGTTACGTACACAATGGAAAAAGAGCTAGAATGAAGAGGATCAAAGGTCATGGAAAATAGAATATTGTTCAATGTACCGAATTTACCTTAACAATCGCTATTTCTCACACCTCAATATCAATTTTTGTAATAAAATACTAATCAAATGAATAACATTAAATGATGATCAAAAAATAACAAATGTGCATTTTTTCAATTTTAGAATTTTTACTAGATAACAATTTTTTACTTTTTACGATAAGATTTTTCAAACGTTTCAAAAAGGCTTTTGCAAAAAATCAAACAACAAAACTGCAAAAATCAAAAATGAATCGATCTAATTGAAAAGTTAGAGCCCAAAAAGTGAACATCCCAATTACAGAATCCTGCCACCGGATTTATCGCTATGCGCAGGTCATGCCAACGCCAAACAAACGAAAACGGACCGGTTTCCCCTACGTAATGCTGCCACAAAAAGGATACCACCCCCCACCCCCCCAAAAAAAATCAAAAACTAGCTCCTAAAATTTATTGCCTGCCTATACCTATAAAAACCCTCGTAAAATTAGCTAATGACCAGAATAAATCGTAAAGAAAGCGAGCGGATATGCAAATTTCGGACGTGGTCGCCAATTTGCGCTTCGCGCGCCGTGAGGCGAGAGAGGGAGATTCGGCGCGGCTGATAAGCAGGATTTTGGGTGGATTCGCGGGGAAATTTCCATAGAATTCTAGAGGGTGCGTGATGCCCGGAATTTCTCTCTTCGCTTTTTGGGTTGCGAGCATGGAAAGTGAGGAAAATGAGTGTGATCAATCACTGAGCTGCCAAAATCCGGGGCGGATAATGGGTGGAGGGAGATCGGGATGCAAATTTTGCGGATTAAAGAGACAGAATTAATATATTAAAGGTATCGGAATTACCGAAAAAGAGAAACAAAGATCAGATAACCAGATTTTAATATTTTAAGCTTATAAACAATAACGACGGCTTAAATCTTAATATGAACTTTTCGTAGTGGGTTTCTTACGCCAATTTCAATAGCTCGTTTAAGAAATATAAAATAGGGTAAATACGACTTTCAAGAAATGGATAAACTTCATTTATGGTTTCAACTGCTTGCAAAGCTTCAATTTTCAGTTTAAGCTAATGAAGAATGCGTTGATGCCTTAAAAAATTCCTTAAATACCTGCAAATCAGGTCTAAAAATAGTTTATAAGTTTTTCCAATCTTGGATATACCTATTCTGTTAAACTCTGACACTCATACCGTAGGGTTCAACTTTTCCAGGAGGACCACTTGAGAATTTGCGAGAATATGAACACGGCAGGGCATTGGATGCTGTTTGTTTTGCAGGTTACAGGTTGGATACGGGAGGTTTCAAAACTGACAACAACTCTCAAAAATAGTAAAAAGTTCTGTATGGGGCTCAGCGACGACGGGATCGGAAAAATTAAAAAAAATTGCATATCGCGAAAAATACCGAATTTTCGGTACCTACCTATCGCTGGGCTGGGCGCGACGATCCAACTTGGAGACGCTTTTCGTGCGTTTCAGCGGATTTGTGCGGAATGGGCGGGAGAAAAAGTTCTGAAAATCAAAAATTAATAGACTATAAAAGCTGTAAAACTCAGATTTTAGCAGAAGCCGATCGCAAATTTTTTTCAAATTGCAAATACTTACAGCCAATCGCTGCGGGGTCGTCTGGCTCTCCTCAACCAGCGCAACGCTGGGACCTTCCTGAAATTAAATAGTTTTATCGTTTTCATCGCAGGTGTCTCTAATTAATGTTTCATGATAACATAAGTCAATCAATTTCTCTGAATTTCTTCAGTCCCCCAAAAATGCCGCTAGGCTACCCATTCACAGGCCCCGGGAAAACGTGAATAATTCTTGCCCAGGGAAACCAAATTCGGGTTGCCCGCTGTGGGAACGGTGTTTTGGAAACATTGACTGGAAGCCTACTGTTACGAAAATCGTTGATATTTACCAAGAGAGAGCGAGAGAGAAGGAGTGAGAGCAAGCTAGAGAGAGGGACCGCAAGAGCTTTAGGTATTTCATGTCGTAATTCATATAACATTTTCCCTGCCCCTCCCGCTCTCTCTCTCTCTCTCTCTCTCTCTCTCTCTCTCTCTCTCTCTGTCACTCTCTTTCTCTCTCTCACTCTCTCTCTTTCTTTCTCTCTCTGCACCCTTTCATGCAAACGATTAGAACTGCTTCCTCTCCCTCTCTAGCTCGTTCCCTAAATTCTCACGTGATACATCGGGGTGGTGCTCAAGTTATGGGCGCTGGTGCCAAATCTGGAGTGCGGCGAGGCGGTCGTCTGGTAGTAGCGGCCATCTTCCAGGGCATCTGGAAATAGGAAATAAGTATCGATTTCTATGATTTACGCCCCCAAAATATATACCTTTAACTCACTACTCAGATCCCTCATACATCTAATTTTACCATGTTTCGATGCCATTTCTCTTATTTGTATGGCTTGTTTTTGAACCAATATTTTCCCAAAGTACAACCTTTCCCTCTTTATCAGTAGTCCGCTTTATACTATCGACACGAGCTGTTGACTACCCTGCAGCATTCCTTCCCAACAACCCCAAACCCCTAAATCATCCCCCCAGCTAACCGGAGGCACCCGATCAGATAGATATGGTAATGATGGGGGATGGGTATATAGCCTTGGGGCAGAAGGGGGATATCGATAGTTTTTTGAGGGGGCATGCGCTGGGCAAAGAAGGGCCGGATCCTCATAACCATCGTCTCCACCTATTCCGTGGATATTAGTAGCCGGTGGGGACAAGGACAGGAGAGAGAGGGCGAGAGAGAAGTGGCACTCCCGACAGTGGAGCACAAGGTCAGCTCGGGAGTGAGGGCCGAACACCGCTAGCCTATTACTCGGAGGGCATTGACAGATGGAGCGTAGCGTAGTCGGGTGGATTTGAATTTGGGATGGAAAGCCCTAAGGGTCTCTGCTAGCTATAGTAGCTTGAAAACCTAGTTAAAATCGAAGTGTACGATTCGGGAAATCGTTCAGAGGAGTGTAGCGTAGTCCTTAGAAGCTAATTGTATGAGACTGTTTTCACATGACTTTCTGCTAGTTAACTAAAGTGGCCTTTAGGGTTAAAACCCTGGAAACTGAAATAAAAACGAAATTATTTGGTGTTTAGAGGAGCGTAGTGTAGTCTAAAAGGAACGATTCGAAATTGGTTCCTAAAGGATCTCAGCTAGCTGTGCAGCCCCTCAGTAAGTTTGTATAAAAATATATTATACAAGATCAAGTCCAAAATTGGAGAATTCACAAAGAATCACTGCCGGATTGTCATTTCTCTCATTATTCCGAAAGATCAAGATTACAGCGCTTTCCCCCGGTTCAAAGATCCATTAAAATAATTTGTCTTTCCGGCGGCTTCGCTAAAAGCTCTCAAAAAAGAAACGCTTCCACATTTTGGATAAAAATTACGTAACTAGCCATGTTTCAATGCATTAATGGCAACTTCCCGAACCTGTCTGCAAAAACGAGGCGTAGCTGAATTTCCTGGTGATCCGATTAATCGCATCGATCGACATCTGGTGTAATTAGTACGGAATCGGAGCCAAAATCGGCCGAAAAAATCGTAAAATGACCGGAATACCAGGCCAATACACTGGACAATAGGCTGTAGGCCGCAAAAGACTGAAGGCTTATTCGACCCCGAAAATCCTGGGGGCGCGCGTCCCTCGGTTCGTTGGAAAAGCCGAAAAAACGGCTCGGACCCGGTGGGGGGAGGTCGCGGAAACCCGCGCACAAACAAGCTTTTCCGGAGGCCTAACCGCAGGGGAAATGGAGGGAATGGAGGGACCGAGCAAAATGACAGAAATGGAACTTGGAAGTAATCCCCGCGGCTGAGGGGCCTAAAGGGCACTACAAGGTTTTTCTGGAGGGGGCGCTAGAGCAGCGGGAGGGTGGGAAAATAGGCTGATTTTGAGATGATTTGGATTTTCGGTGATAGTTTTTTTGACCGAGTGAAGGGGAAACGTACTCTCTCAAATTTAAAAATTGGATGGGTTTTGTGGAACCGTAGAGATCACACTCTAAGCCTATTTTCTGAGGTATCCAGACCGGAAAAAGCGTATTAAGTCTTCGAAATTAGGCATGATCGGGACAACCGAACAATTTTGGAATCTAAATTCTTAAAATCATACCTTACAAAACTTTCGCAGCCAAAAGCCAAAAAAAAGTATATGACGTCTTCAGATTCCAAAAACAATCGATAAATTTGGCCTCGATTGAACCAATTACGCTATGAAAGGCATAAAAGTATGCGTATTGAGCAAAAAAATCAGCATATCAAAACCAAGCATTACTCTGAAGTTACCATAAAGACATGGTAGTCGCCAAAAATCGTCAAAAACTAAAAATCGGCAAGAAAGATCAAGGAAATTAGACCGGTGTCAAATTGCAAGTCCACAAGAAGTATTGATAGACTCGGAAGTCTGATATTACCTTCATCCTCGTCGTACTCCACCAAATCGTCGTCGTAATCGGGGCGCGGGATGCGTTCCTCGGGGATGATATTCAGCGAATACGTCGAATAGTACCAAGGGGAGGACATCGAACGGTGCATTTAGTCAGGTTCGGAAAACGAGCCCGATTCCTTTGGCGCCAGTTCTAATCGTTTGCATAAAAGGAGGCAGAGAAAGAAGAGAGAGAGAGAGAGTGCGTGAGAGAGAGAGAGAGAAAGAGAGAGAGAGCTGTAGAGAGGAAATTGTCAAAAAAGGTCTATAAAACGATGATGATCTCATGAAAAGCTATTCACAGTCAAAAAAATATGCTTCAATACCCCTCTTTGAAAAAAGACACCTCAAAATAGATCTATTCATAGCTGATCGGAATAAACCGAAAATATATGAAGATTCAGAGTGCATTTGCAGAGTTTCTAATCTTTTTAGCTGACAAAACGAGGGAGATTCCGATGATTCACGCTAGGAGGAGAGGATAGATTTGATCTCGGGGTGAATCAGCAAACATAAAAGTGTGGTTTTTTGAGGGATAGATATGAAAGGATCTATGATTTCTGGGCAAAAATATCATCCAAAAATTTATCAATTCACTAAAAAAGTTCAACTAACCTTTGAAAGAGTCCAAATTACGAATATTTCAAACGTTTCTGCAGCGCTAAATCCAGTAACTATTCATAAAGGTAAAAAAATGGCCTTTAAAGAGATATTGAAGACAAAAATACGCATAAATTACAGCTAATGATTTGGAAAATGTCTCAAAACTCAATACAAGAAAATTGAATTCAAAATTAGACCGATTTCCAATATATTTTTTGATGGTAGTGACAAAATTCGAGAAGATTACTAAATCTGCTATTAAAGGTATCGTAAACCCAAAGTTCTAATCAAATCACCACAAAAATGGTGCCCCGCTGGGGTAGCTCTCGAGGGGCGGGGGCATGAATATAGAGGCTTGCTTGGGGAGAGGATGGGTGGCTGTGTGGTCTGGTTGCAGCCGGGGGGCGCGGCTGGGTGTTTGCATCTTTGCGCTGTTTCTCTCGTCTCTCTCCGTCTCTCTCATTCTCTCGTCAGTCTCACTCTATGGGTCTCGAAACCTCCTCCCTGCCCCCAATCTCTCTCTTCAGTCTCACGCAATTACTCGGGGTGTCCTACTGGGTCGTCAGTCTCCTCTGGGTCTTCTCTCTCTCTCTCTCTCTCTCTCTCTCTCTCTCTCTCACTCTCTCCGACTTGTAGGGTCACTCAAAAGCCTGTACCGCAAGGGATGTGTCGAGTAGCCAGCCGGTACCCGCTAATACTTGTAGCTCTGCAGGAGGTCCTTAACATTTTGGCCTAACTTTGGCCCTGGTCTCTGTGTGACTAGACGCAGCCACTTGGTTGGTGATGTGGGAGGTGAGCGAAAATCAGGCGGCAACCGGCCAAGTGGCCAAGTATTCTTGGATCAAGGGAGTGGCAAGTTCTGCAAAACATTTCAAAAAAAGCCGGGTGAGAGGGTTTAAAGGAACTGTAAAGGCAAATGGAATGCAAGGAATCTAGGAGGCTAATGAAGGTGACCTGGCCTCGTAAAAAGAATTGGCAAAGTAGCCTGGCGATAGATCAGCTGTGGGCAAAGCGTATTCCGTTACGTTAATCAATCGCTTACACTATAAAAAACTGGTCTGCGCGTTGCCTTTCACGGTTCGGCAAAATTTATGGAGAATCTAGAGCCACATATCCGCCGCTTGCCAGTTCCTTTAAAGTAGCTTTATAAGACCAGAAGTGAAAAAATGAACAACACACAAAAATCGCCATAAATACAGATAAATTCCGTGGAACTACTAAATACTGCAGCTTCCTTCTCCTCCTAATCAGCAACCCCCAGTTGCCTGACCAATTCCCCAAAATCTCAAAATATAAGCAGCTTCCAGTCTCCTACTTTCCTACTTCCTTTCTTCCCCGTTTTTCGCACTTGTCACCTCCCAGCGGCCATCAGGTGCCAGGGGGCCAATTCTGATAAGGACTTCTTAGGCGGTGAGGAGCGTAAAAAACGTGTGAACATGTCCTTGGGCTATAAAAGGAGGGTGATTTGCAATTGGAGCTGTGATGAGGGTCACGGCAGCTAGGGCCCTGGGGCCTTGGGCCATATAGGGCACCATCTGGGGTGGATTGAGGAAGTTGATCCATGCAGTCGCTTGCTTCTCTCCCGCTCTGTCTGTTTCGGGCTCTCTCTCTCTCACTCTCTCTCGCTCGCCACCAATATGCTCACGCTCAAAAGCGACAGATTGACTCGAATCTAACCAGACAGCGAGAGCGAGAGAAGGAGAGAGAGAGAGAGAGTGAGTGAGAAAGAGAGAGCCAAAAAGAGAGACCAAGGCCGCCAATCCAAATTATGCAAATTGGGTCCGCAATACGATCATATGAGGAAATTGAGGAATTTGAGCTGATTCCACGGCTCGAATTTCCGGAGTCTGATTTTTATCGAAGACCAGAACTTCATGAATTGGTAATATAAATGTCAACTAATACGAATTCGCCAAATTCCAAAGCCCTTTCCAAGCTCGTGCTAATGTTCAGGCTCAGCCCTCCTTCCAAGGATTTTCTCAGCCATGAGCCGATGTGATAATGGCGGGCCTTGGGGAGGACCGGTCGCTGAGCCTGAGGGCATCGTTCCAAACTGGGGAAAGGCGAGAGAGAGAGAGAGAGAGAGAGAGAGAGAGAGAGAGGGAGAGAGCGAAACCAATCCGAAATGGCCAATCCACATCTGTTGACGGCGGGAAAGTTTTGACGCTGGTTTCGAATCGGGGGAAAGAGAATGGTTTCTAGCGAACCGATTCGAATCGCGAAATGGGGCTTGAACGGATTGGAATTTTATGCCGATAGCTATTGGATTTTGGTGGATCCAGAACAACTAGTTTTACGATGTCCATGCGCAAAAAAAAAAGAGATTTTTCAGTTGGCCAAAATTTCCTTAAAGGGACAGTGACAACGTCATGGACAGGGGATTTTCAAGCTCTTGAGATGTTTTGCTTCCTGATTTGACAAAAACTCTTGCTTCCAGTCGTCTCAGAGAGAGAGAGAAAGAGAGAGAGAGCGAGAGAGAGAGAGAAAAAGAGAAGACAGTCTAGGAAATCCAGAAAATTTCCGCTTTCTAGTCTTGCCGGCGCCGATTGAGTGAACTCGTCTTTTTTGTTTTCCGATGCACTCAAGAATGGGTCGAGTAGATCAAGAGATCCGCGTTCTTTGCCCGGAATTTGCCATGTCACAGATACGTGTAAAACCAGAAATTAGATACAGACCAAGTTTTAGATACCCCCTCTGTCTCTCGTTCTCTCTATCCCCCTCTCTCTCCCTCTCTCTCCAGAGAGATAATGACTCTCGCCATCCAAAGTCTCTGCTAGATCTCGATTCATCTCCCTAGTGCGGAATCGGCAATAAAAGCGAGCAGAAGACAAGAGGAGAGAATCGTGAGGCTCGCCTTGAGAGCCCATGCAAATTTCTGCGGAGCCGTTAGGAGGCCCGTTCGAATGCGAGGAGAGGGAGAAGGTCACGGGCCGGCGGCGGCACCACCCCACCAAATGCAAATATCAACATGAGAGATGAAAATGGTCTGGATAAATCTATGGTAATGGCTAGAAGAAGGGTCTCAAAATAAGAAACCCCCGAGGTATCCAAGCTTACTAGGTACATAAGGGGGTTACGGGTCGTTAGGGAGGTCGAAGTGGGACGGAGTACTTGAATCTGCCGGGGAGTCCTCGAGGAGTCCATCTTGTAGAAGCCAGGCTTCTACAAGATGGCAAGAATGCCGTTTTCAAGGTGTGGAATTAGGCATAAGCTTCGAAGCTCAGAATCAACTAGTGTTTTTGCCAAGATTTCCACTAAAAAATTTTTCACGCTCTTGGAAATCCGGAAAAACCAAGGCCTGGACCATTTTTTAAAGGACCGGAAAGCTATAATCAAAATTAAAAACTTTTATCTGATGATGACGTTAATGGAAATGCGCGTTTGTTTTGTGGGTGGAAGGAAAAGTGAGGGGGGAAGTTCTTGAGAGCTGGAACAAGGGCCCCCGACAACCGTCAATACAACCGAAAGCG